TCATCTAGTCCCAACCCCCATTTTTGTTTTCTCTTCCTCAGACTGCAGCGCTTTCTTGCCGACTTCCGAGACCTCACCAGCTGGGTGACTGAGATGAAGGCTCTGATAAATGCTGATGAACTTGCCAATGATGTGGCTGGAGCTGAAGCCCTTCTAGACAGACATCAGGAACACAAGGTATAGTGGTTCTACAGCCAAATCCAGTCAGCAACTTCAGCAGCTGATTTGTGTCTGATACAGGCTGAGTCAGAACTGCTGTGTTGTAGCACTGAAATGCATTGGTCATGCAGCTAACACAGTACTAGATTGCTGTCCTGGTTTGATAGTTTTGCTTTATTTTCAGATAGTAGATACATACTAATTACTAAGTATTTAAAATGCTTACAATATTTTATTAAAAAGTAGATCTGACAGCAGCCAGTTGGACTAAGGACTGCTTTAGCTCTCCATCATGAGGAGCTGCTATAAGTAAGCAGGAAGAATGCAGCTAACATCAGCCTCTAGTTTCATTTCTAAGTCGTAATTTATACCTACCTTATCTGTAAGGTAGCACATTTCATTCTAGTGAAGTGTAGTGTGTTTAAAGATAGTTGAATGTTCAGCACTAAGGTGTCCAGACTCTTGTTTCTGTGTTATTTGCAATAGCAGTTTTCATATCCTTACACTATTCTAAGGTGAATTTTGCCAAGAGTTTATTCACATCTCCTTTCATAGGGAGAAATTGATGCCCACGAAGACAGCTTCAAATCTGCTGATGAGTCTGGCCAGGCTTTGCTTGCTGCAGGGCACTATGCTTCTGATGAGCTTAAAGAAAAGGTAAGCTGAGAGCAAGAGCTCCTACAAGAGTTTTGTCTTCCATGTCCCTTAACTTAAAAGGATGATGGTGTCAGTAACAGGAGGTTTGACTCTTTACACAGGAGGTCGTTTTCAGTCCAGTGTTAACCACTCTAGAAGAGTCACAACTTGATTTTACATTGAGATGGAAGGGAAGCAGACTGTTAAATATAATTGCTGTATATTCCTCTTCCCACTCTGCAGCTGACAGTCCTCTCAGGTGAAAGATCTGCCTTGCTGGAGCTGTGGGAGCTCCGCAGACAGCAGTACGAGCAGTGCATGGACCTGCAGCTCTTCTACAGAGATACAGAACAAGTTGACAACTGGATGAGCAAACAGGAAGTGAGTCCATGTCTCTGAACTCTGCAGATAGGGTTGATTTCAGTTTCTGGGTGGTCTTCTATAGAATTAAACAAGTGGTATTGCCTGGTGGCAGTGACTCCCCTAAACATGCACTAGTGAGCAGGTACTGTGTGACTTGTCTGACTACCTGAGATGCTGCAATGACTGTTTCCATCTGATGTTGAAGCTATGAGCTGTGGCTTGAGATGGCTTCTGTGTGTATTAACTCTTGCAAAATACTGGTTGAGTAAGAAGCTAA